GTCTCATTCCCAGCAGCAGTATCTGACAACCTGGGAATGAGACTCAACAAACTACCTTCAAGCCACCAACCCAGAGTGTCTTTCTTTCGTCTGATTGGTTATTTTTGTTCAGGCACGGTGGATCCTTGCAAATGCCATTAGAAGTGCGAGAACAAGGCAGAGGAATCAGATTTTTGCAGCTTTAAATTATAAACTGAAGTTGAGACCAAATAATCAATTTTGTTGATGCAAAAAAAATCTTAACTTGCTTAAGTCTGCTGCTGAAGGCCATGAAATGGCCCTAAAAGCTCTGAAAAAAGATAGTGAGTGGGCCTTGAGTTAGGTTTTTTTCCCCCCCCCAAGGTCATGAATGAACTTTCACACTCAATCCATCTTGTGTTCGCATCCCCCACTGACCAGCAGACATTTGTCCATACCTCCATCTCCCATGGACAGTCTTTTCACAACCAGAGCGGGGTAGGGCAGCTCACAGTCGGTCAAGTTCCCCGTCTCGGCTGAGCAGAAGTTGAGGTTGTAGGAGAGCGTGCTGTGGTTTGGGGTGAAGGTACGAGACAGAGGCGGGCTCCTGCTCGGCCTCTCGCTCTCAGGCTGCGCCGACTGGGGTCCTCGTGTAAATGTAAAGTAAGGGGAGTCTTTGGACTGGCCCGTGGGTGTAGAACAGTACCTCTGCCATGTCTTAACTTGTCTTAAATCACTCCCATCAGCACCTCTCCTCTCCCCCACAGTGCTAGTGATAGTGTATGTGACGTTAGCTGGCATGGAGGGATTGCATGCAGGGGTGGACGGGGTGGACAGAGGGACCGAGGGACCCAGGCTGATCCTCTGGGAGGCCGCAGAGCTCGGCATTCCCATCCCTTTCCCTTTCCCCTTCGCTCTCTCCTTCCCCCTCTCCCCCTCGTCTCTGTGGATGGCCCCTTTCTTCAGGATGGCTTCCAGGTTGTTCCTGAGGCCACACTGTGGGCTGTCGTAACTGCTGGAGGACAGTTTGGGAATCTGGAACGGCGAATTGGGCTCTCGGTCACCACGCCACTGAATGGTCTGCAGTTTGCGGCAGATGCTGTCCACGGGGTTGTGGCGACGATTGGGCTGCGGCGTGTAATATTCCATGCTGCTGAGGGCAGAGCTGCAGTGCTGGCTTCCTGGCTACAGGAGAGGCTGAAGTCTGAGCAGAGAGAATCAGAAAATATTTGGTTTATTTGAAAGAATATAAAAAAACACTGAGAGGGCCATGGTTATTTTGCATAGTGGAACCCCAACACTGCATACTGTAACACTATGATGTACTGTATAACTGGCAGATAGGACCCTTGGCTGTGTTAAGAACTCTAAAACAAGCAGGCAAGAAAGGACTGAAGACAGAAAGAAGATGGAGAGGAAAGAAAAGAGAGAAAGAGAAATGTTAGCCTCCCTAACCACACAAACAGCTTAATAAAAAGGACCAAACTCTACATGATAGGAGTCTACACGAGTTAGTATACATGAAAACCAGTCCTCAAGGTTTCAGATTTTAAATCGTGGCTTCTCAAAGACTAAAGCAAATGGGTTCAAAGCCGAAGCATCCTACTCAGGCTCCAGGTGTGCAACCAAGCTAATTAATCAGAGTTAGCTTACGGGTTTTACACACAATACCATTTATTTCAGTATACACGTCTCATTTTCTAATACAACTCCCTGTAGGTTAAAGAAAAATCAGAAACATGGATAGCACACTTCATTTCTTTACAGTACATTTGTAGGAAAAGCTACATTTTATTAAAAAATAAATAAATAAGCAAAACAAACGTATTAAAATATGAAGCAAATAAAAAGTGCCTGGCTCCGACAGCCACACTACAGATAAACATTTTTTTTTTTTTTTTT